AGTGAATATGGTAGTGCGTGAGTTGTTTTGGGGATATTTTTGGGTATAATATTATGCGAAGGATTAAGTTGGTTTTAAAGAGATAAATATTAATTAGGATAAATGTTAAGGATTAGTTAGAATAAGGCTTACTTGAGGTGGTTTGATAAGGGAGACGTGAGTCTTGAGGTTATTTGATAAGGTTTGAAAGAGAGATTATTTTTGTGGGTTTTATTTATTGATTTATTTTTCTTCTAAGTATATTTAATGGAAGATATTCATTCTTTGCAACGAAGAGACTTTGGGGATTTGAGTAAAGAATTTGGGTCTTGTGAAAAGATATTTTGGGGTGGACTCCCTTGGAGACCTAGAGAGAGGGTATAATCTCTCAACCCTTTTTATTTTTATTTTTATTTGTCTACTTATTATTTTCTCCCTGCATCTTGATGACATCAAAAGGTCAAGATCATCATTTGGAGGGTTTCGCAGTGTCAAAACAATATATTTCGGTGGATTTTTTTGGTGCGCCTTACTTCTACAAACCCTAATTAAACTTTTTCATAAAGTAATACGCCTTTTTATTTAGAGAGCAATTTCAGAGAATTGTATGATCCCCTAGTTACCCTCCAATTACAATAATTGCAAATGCATGTCAAGAGGGTTACTAAGTCCACTAAGGAGCAAGCCACTAAGAAACTGGATCATAGTAGCAAGGACACCGACACTTATGAGGGTGCCTGGCACAAGAGTAACCAAGAGATTAAAAAACAAAGCAACAAGCAAAATACAAAAAAACTCTCCCAATGTTTCCACCCATGCTCCAAACATAACACCTTTTTGGCATCAATTCAAACACAACCCATTCATCCGCCATAACCTCTAGCTTGCGTTGATTCCACAAAACATATATACATACATACATATATATATGGGAAAAGATCCTGTCAACCTACGGGCTGATAGCTACAGTGTCAGCCAATGGCTCAGATTGAATCTGGGCCAATCTGACGGTCACGACCTCATTTCGTATTTGAATTTACATTTTTTTTCTACAAATCCAAATCACTTGAAACTTTGAGCGTTTATTCTTCAAAAATAGAAGAATTTAATAAAAATATAAACAAAATAATTCACAAAATATAAATTAATCAAAA